AATTCAAGAAGTTTTAGATTTGCGTGGTTTTTTTTGAGTTGCAAAATGCACTTGAACATGACGCTGCTTTTTTCAAAGTTTCTCAAGAACCATTCAAGCCAGAGAATTCGTTTTGGCATCGTTGGATAGAGAATTGAATGGGGGGGGGGGTCATGACCCCCCTGGATCCGCCCTTGGGAGAGTAGGACAAGAAAATAGTTTACCTTAGAGAATCTCTGGCTCCCAATCCTGCAAGTTTCACGTCAGCGTTCTCTAGGAGGGTTTGGACGACTTTTTCCGCGTTGTTCGCTGGAATGGACAGTTCGAAGCCATCTTCGCCGGTGTAGCCGCATCTTAAGTAGAACCAGAGAAAGTTTATTGAAATTACGATTTATTTCCCGAAAAAATGAGCAATTTTCAAGTGATTGGCTAAAAACTTGCGGGCTTCCAATCTGGCAACACCAGGCTGGTTTCCAAAATGCTTTGTTTGAGAAAACATTGTTAAAGTTTTTTTTTATTATTTTGATTTATTTTCCTGCCTGCGTGTAATTCAACACACCGTGTGTTGAAATTTAAATCTGATCATGGCGCTGTTGTCTCGCCGAAACGTTATATGAAATAAACGATATGAACATTTCACATTTTGACTGAAACCCAGGAAAGAAAAAATATAATAATTATTAAAAGTTACAAGGGCAATCAAGAAAAGACTTAAATTAAGCCGAAAATTTCAATGTTTTTACTCATTTTTACGCAAAATCTCTCGATTTCCGCACATCTTTGCTAAGATTAAGAAAAGACGCAAATCTGGTTTCTTTAAAGATCATATTTGAGCATTTTTGATAAACTTGCGAGCTGCAAAAATGCAATAATCTCAACATTTTTTGGAAAGTAAAATGAAATCCGCATACTTTTCTTTTAAACTCCGATGAATTTGTGTATACACAAAGTGTCGATAAAGTCCACTGTTTTAAGCAGCACAACTTTAACATCCCTTTGTATTCGCCCGACATTTTTGTGCCACGACACAGAAATCGTTGATCGAATTTTTCGATTTTGCCAGGGGTTCAGTACAACTTCCCCATCGAAAAAAGCCCAGAATACCACTTTGCAAACTAAACTACGACTTGAATTATTTGGTAAAATTCACGCAAAGCCAATTGAGACCCAAAAACTCCATCCTCGGGGCGAGTGGGCTCGAAACGAGTAAAAAGGACACTGTTAGAGCCTGGATTTTGCCTTTGCGAAGACTTTACCTGGAAATCCTGCATTCCTGCACGTTAGAAATACTCCCAACAGCTGTGCTCATAAAGTACAAACTTTTCAGATTCACCTCAGTCAGATTCTGCAGAGAAGCTGCAGCTTTGGGCCCTTGGAGCGCTATTAGCGCTCTATCGTGCGGCTCTAAGAACTGGATCGAAAGTTCCTGGCCCTTAGAACCCTGGCGCTTTCTGAACTTTTCCTGCAAATCCAGCGAAAAATTGAGCGCCTTGTCCCTATACAGGGTGTTGTGCAAACGAACCAATCCATTAATCATAATTTGTTGATCCTGCTGCTTCATGGCGGCGTTTGAAACGACAAACAAAAATTCCTCGTTCACCTTAGTGACGATCAAATCGTCCAATATGCCTCCATTATCGTTGGTAAACACTGTTAAACTGACACTGTTATCGGCCAGGCCCCGTATATCGGCTGTACAGAGTGACTCGAAAAATTCCACACAATTGGGGCCTAGAAAATAAAAATACTCCAAATGCCCATTTGAGGCGCAAAAGCATACCTCGGATTTCCGTTTGAAGCATATGGGAAACATCGAAAATACTGGCACTTTTTCTGGTGAATAAATGCGAATTTACAATGGATTGATCGCTGTACTGGACTGGCAGCAAAAACCCGCCGAAATTCACAATTTTTCCGCCGTTTCTAACGTGAAACTCGTACAAGGAAGTGACTTCCCCTTGATGGCTCGAATAGAGTCGTTTTGGGTGTTTGCAACCAAACGACAAAACGCGGCGAAGAACAAACATCTTTCTGAGACATTGATAAACTTGCGCCACATGTTAAGGATTTCAACAGTAATTATTAGGCAACTTGAAAAGTACCAGGCCCAGTCGACAAATGCCTTAAAAATTCAAACCTGGGGCTACCGTGCAAAAGCATTTTCTGAGCTTAGCACTAAATGCGGTCACTGAGTACCTTTTCAAGAAGGTTTTTTGGAGTCAACTAACGTTTTTTTTTTAATAGTTTCCTTCTGAAGCGTTTGCTTCGCATCTCACTGGTAACTGGACGGACGACACATTTTATCTGCATGTTATCAGGGCAAAACTTTGACCCGCACAAGATAAACTGTTTGGACGGTTTCTTAGGGCGGCATTTTAGGAACAGTCCCACAAAGCATCAAAGTAGGTATACATATATTTCAATAAATTTATGCTATCTTAGTCAGCGCACAGCTTTAAAGTGTTTACATAAAATAAAGGAACATTAATGGGTACAACAGGATACCAAAAACCCGCCAGATTCTTCAGTCGCGGAATCATAATCTCACTTAATCTTAGCACCGAAGTAACAGACTTAAATTAAGTACAGGAAATCATTGAAACCAATATAACTGTAGCTAGAAGTACTGCGTTAAGTCTAGTTAAAAGCACCCACTGTTTGGCTTAAGTACTGCTTCCAAAGCCTTCTGTATTGTATATAGTTTGCGCTTAAAATGAAAAAAAAAAACTAAAAAATCACATAAGCTTATCAACATCCTCATTCGTCGTGTCCAGTCAAAGCCAGCTCGTCTTCTGGAAGCGCATTTCGTTTAAATGCGCTCTCATTCACTAGATACAACACCAGCAGCCCGTAGAACGTGGTGATGAGCGCAATGAAGTTGAAAACAAACGCCTCAGGCACAAACGCCGAGTACTTTGCATCTCTGAAAATCAGGGAGTTAATAAATGCCTAAAAAACTGAGCAACTGTACACTTACAACGTGAAGAAAGCTTTCTCGGTTAGGCCAGTTATGCTGCTGATTAATCCCATAACAAATGCACTGAGTCCGATCACCACATGAACGGGCATCAGGGCTTTGCGCAAAGACGGCGACAGTCCGGGGTATAGGAACGAAAGAAAGCCGGATAAAAACTGGAAAAAATCAATTAAAAGCAAGAACAATAGACACAATACAGGCGTTAAACTGCCCTCGAAATGGTGGTTTTACAGTGTGAAACCATTCCTGGGGACCAGCTAACTAACTGCACGTGTTTGGACAATTCCAGTAATAAACAAGCGATTCTACAGGTACAAAGTGTGGGCATTGTGTGCTAAGTTTGCGGTTATTAGCACGAAACAGCCGAAAATAACGAACAGGCCTTAAAACTGAAGCCCATGCATGAAAAATTTTGATTTTTAGCCAACATTTTTCTTCAATTTTGCATCATTTTCAGCTCCCGGATGTAAGGAATGCATCGAACTCATTGGAAAACATGCTAGAAGTTTCAGATCCCAAATAATAGACTTTCGGCATATTATAAGCGTTTTTGAGAGTTCACGATAATGCAAGTGTTTTTCGATGTTTTCAATGGAAATTAATATTTTTTATTAATTTCCCGATACAAAAGGGCCCCTAATTAATAATAATTCATCCTTGAACGAGAAAAGTTTCTCATGTTCGCTCAGGAAGTGTCTGAGAGGGGCTCGGCAAACCAATTCATTGCAGTATAAAAGGGAAATCTGCGATTCTTATTCGCCTTTTACAAAAAGCGGATATTTTTCCAGTAAGGAGTGACTAAATGCGTGTTTTTGCGTAAAAAAATGCAGTAAAAACAATAAAATGCGCGGCTTGCAGCGACGGATTAGCGTCTTTTTTGAGCTGAATAGAAATCACAAAATTTCGGTAGCGCGTCGTAACTTAACTTAACGTTCATTTTATGGGGAGACTTTTGCAATTTTCCGGCCAACAGATTGATTAAAATCACTCAAATGCGTTTTACAAAGCGCAGATTTCCGTCTTTTCTTGATGAATTTCTCATAACTTTTAAAGACTCTTTTCTCAAACAAGAACAACAGAGTCTGGTTTTTTTCAGCAAAAGTTAGCTGCACAGTAGACATTCTCAGATCAAGCGAAAAATGTCTGAATTGAAATGAAAAAAGGATGGTTCCAGTCTATACTGAATAGAATTTAAAGAGCGGTTTCAGCCCTGTTCTATCGAATAGGAACAATACAATTCAACACAGAGGTTGCATTTAAACAATTGTGATATTTCGGCCATCTGAGGAGTTTCCTGCGCCAAATAATCCCAGAGAAGACGCATCTCCATACCAGATGAAAAAGTTGGGCAAATAAACTTGCGCTTTCACAAGCCATTACTCACCTTCACTCTGAATATGAAACTTACTTGCATAGCAAAAATGATCACAGTAATGAGCCCAATCCAGGAATGCATGCTGTATAGATTGGCAATTGGTGGAGTGGCCAAATTGTGCGTATCAAACACGGCCTTAAGCCCAATCACCGATAGGATGAAAGCCATCAGGTGAATACTTCCATGGATGATTTTCAGCTTGAGCTTTGGAATATTGCGGCCCGTTCTGTAGATCAGAATTGCTGAAAATCAAACAAAATTTCCTCAGTTTTATGGAAATTTACTGGAGAAAAGGGGCAAATTTAGTTAATTAATCGACTGCTACCTTGTGAGTACAAGAACACCATGCTCAGTATCATAAGAAGCGGATGCCAGTTGAATTCCCGCTTGAGATCCGAATGCCAGGCAAATCCGCCTCTATAATGGAGCAACCAGAAGAGAACCAGCAGAATCAAGCCAATTCCCATGGAAGTGGTGAAGGAGTAGATGGTGTTGTACATTTTCGTTTTCTGATGTTCGGCGCGTGCTTCCATGGCTCTGAAAGTAATTTTTCTTTAAATTATATTATCGGTTACATCGGCATTCTTTCTGCGCCCGATGCATCTTATTTTAGACACTTTTTTCCCAGAATCAGTTTATTTTAATGTGATTATCACCTACGGTACTAACTGCAACTACACTTAAACAATTCCTTGCCTTCACTTAGCTTTTGAATGGCTTGCACTAAAAACCGCAGGGAAATCGCACATTTGGGTTTCCGTCTGCTTAACTGCGTTTTTACTAGATTAAAAATGAATGTCATTGTTGTTGCACATCTACTTTTAAACAAAAACAGCAGTTGGGCACTTTTCCAACAGACCTCGAAGCGCAAAGTGCCAAGGAACTGATCAAATTATTAATAAATAGCCGGGATATCTAAAGAATTTGACCACTCCGAGTGCAGAATTAGACGCACATTACATGCAAACAACAACTGAACTTTCGCAGCTCCTGTTGCAACCACCCAGTAAACCAGGCGGATAATCCTGATGTCCTACGCATAATCTAGTTGGGACTACGGCAAACTTTCCAAAACATCTAGATATGCCGACGAAAAGCTTGAAAACCATTCTCGACTGCAGGCCTACATTGGCAGCCCTCACATTAACGCCAATATAAACTGCATGCAAAGTAGAGTCACTCACCTGTTTAGTATTCCAGCTGTTGAGTTGTCTTCACGCTCGTGTTCAGATAACAACGATTCCGAACTCATTTACCAGAAAATGTGGAGCAACAAGTAAAAGAAATCAATAGATTATATCCCCCACTATTAACCTACAGTGTTACAGTCTTAAACTGTTGGCAAAAAACCGTTCATGCCGGCCTGACCTAGAAGAGTTAATGAGCACTGTTTTACCACCGGGTTTTAATGAGGAAACGAGGTGATTGTGCGAAATTTCAAGGCGAAACCCCAACATGAGTGTTGACGTTCTGAGCAAAAAAATGTAAACAAAAACATAACCTAAAACAACCTGTAGAGAGGAGTGCTTCCACATCGGCAACTTAGGTGCGAAAATATCCTTTGTCAGCCCCCGATAATTGAAGTTGTGCTTGTTGAAGTTGTACATTTTGCGCGAAACCTGCCAATAGTTGCCCTTGACCCTCGTACTTGTATAAACTTAGTATTTAATTTTAGCGATTTGAAAAAACCATGCACATCCCTAGTTGAGCGCACTTGGCCTTAAAGTAGGGTTATCGGTCTTTAGGTTAGGTGCCATATGTTTGTTTGAGCGTTTGTTTATTTACGGAACTTTTCCACCCCAAAATGAACACTTTGGGGTTGAGCACCTTGTTTCGCATGGGGTGTATATGCACCAGTGAAAGTGTTGATATCAATGGCATCAAGTATGTAGTAAAGGAGCTGTTAGGCGAAGGGTGAGTTTGGCAATTGCCACACAGATTTAGTTCAATTAGTTCAAGTGTTTCCTGTTACTTTCAGGGGCTTTTCCTGTGTGGAACTGGTGGAACAGGCGTCGACTAGAAAAAAATTCGCCTTGAAGCGCATTAAATGCCACAGCATTGATGATCAAAAGGTTGCAAGTAACGAAATAACGTATTGTAAGAAGATGAAGCATCCCAACATCATTGAACTTATTGGTGAGTAGATATCTAGGTAAGTAATGAAGCAGAACCTGGAGCCTAAGCTGCTTATCTGGAGAACAAGATACACGTATTTGGGGCCTTTTCAGACGCATGCATCAAAGGCTCTGCAGACTCAGTGGTGGACACGACATCAGAGGCTTTTCTAGTCTTGCCTTATTACAAAAGGGGCACTTTGCACGACCACTTGGCATTGAAGTCGTTCGCCAAAACCTATCTGGACGTGAGAGAGATTATTAGGTAAGTCACTGTGTTTTAGAGACGGAGAAGTGATGGAGTTTTTCGGGCTGGCGTAAAAACGTCTCGAATATATAGCATTCGCCAGTAACTGTGTCTGTTTCATTAGGATATTTTACGACATCTGCCAGGCTGTGAAGTATATGCACGATTTCAGCCCCGAGCCCATCGCCCATCGGGATTTAAAGACGGGCAATGTGTGTCTGACTGATAATCTGGACCCGATTTTAATGGATTTGGGTAAGTTATTAGCGTCAAGATTTGAAGAAAACGAAACTGAAGACGGGTGAATTCCAGGTTCATGTGCGCCGGCTAAACAGCAAATTTGCGGCACCCAAGACGCTCAGAAGTTGGAAGATATTGCCGCTGAACGATGTTCAATGACCTACAGAGCGCCGGAATTGTTCCATGTGGAGAGCTACTGTGTTATTGACCAGAAAACTGATATTTGGGTGAGAGTTTTATGATGGGAAATAATGAGTTTTATAGGGATTTTTTGTGCAATTTGAGTCCA